ACACAGAAAGACATCCTTTATAGCGGGAGGAAGTCCCTAAACCACAAAAAAAAAGTTTTTTGTCCCATTTTCCCGTTCTTCGTCCCCATGTCCGTCCTTTCTCTTTAATTAAATAAATAATTAAATTAATTAAAGTTTATTTAAACTACAAATTTACTTTATTCACTCTTCGACTTTTTTCATTTCCATTTCGTTGATAATAAACTTCACAAGTTCTTCGTTGACCTTCTCGGCGCTTTTTCTAGTTTTTCTCTTCTGACATTTTTGCGTTTTGTTTTGGTCTTCCAACAAACTAAGTTTCTGATAAAATCCGCTGTGTAGAGCAATACGATAGAATCTCTCTTTAAATATCTTTTCTGCTGTTTTAATATTGATTTGATAAGTCATCATCAAATAAGCCACAATTACACAAGCAGACCGACTAAGTCCCTTTTCGCAGTGTACAAAGACGTTCTCATTATGACTTCTTGCCTCGTCGATGTGTTGTTTTAACTCGTCGAAATACATTTCAATTGGAGCGTCCGACTCGTCTCTCACAGGGACTCTTAGAGTAACTATTTGGTGTTGAAAGTAGTGATATTCCACGTTACTTCTATTCTCATAGAAACACACAAGATTTGGCGTCACGTTGATCACTTTTTTGATTTTATTCTCTTTGAGCCAGTTAGTGTTACACGCGACGTGTGCGCTTCCTATAAACACGTTTTTGCATATCTCCGTTCCTCGACTTGTGCAGTCAAATTTTAAATATTTGAACTTCCGCGTGTTTTTGTCTTTACAAAGAATTTCTCGTCTTGTTTTCACTTTTTTGTGCTTCAAAAATTTTTGAATCTTTTTTGGTGTTGGCTGGTTTGTTGTTTGGAGCGGTTTAATTTTAAGCACTGAAAATGGGTGTGTAATTATAGTAAAGTCATAGTCCTCAAGACTTTTCTTCGGCTTTTTCTCTTTGGAAATGTCGAGTTCTGATTGAGTCACAGTCTCACTTATATAACTCTGAGATACACTTGTTGAGCGACGAATAACAAAATAGTCAAATAATGATCGGTTGTGACTCATTGGCTATTTTTGTTATCAAGTTAACAATTTGATTTAATTTAACTATTAAACTATTCTATTATTTTTATTATATTTTATTAATAATGTATAGTTTTATTATTTTGTATTTTTTTATATTTTAATTAAATGAAATTAATTTGTTTATTACAACCAGAATATCATAAAAGTGAAAATTTATTAAAATATATAGTTGTAAAATAGTTAATAATATTATTTATATATAATAATAAAATATAATAACAATTGCTATAATTTACTATTATAATTAATAGTTATTATTATAAATAATAATAAATCAACAACTAATTATTAGTTTGTAATATTTTTTTGTTTAGTGTTGTTATAAATGTTATTTGGTTTAACATTTGATACTAATATTGTCAATTCCTTATAACTTTGAATATTATTTAAAAGCAAAATGCTTAAAATATATTTCAAAAACACATAAAAATTATTGTACAACACAATAATTTTTGTGTGTATTTATTATCAAATTAAACATAGTCAAATATTTTTAATAACACTCGCAAATTTAACAAAACATTGCTTAATAATGAATGTTATAAAATAGATAAAAATACAAACACAATGATTACTTTTATAAAAAAAATTTTATTTTTAAAAATTATAGAATAATAACATATCACATTAATATCAAATGTAACATTCACTGTCATTATATTTGTTTTTTAAATACATTTTTAATTTACTGATATATAGATATAATTTAAATATATACAAATGTCACATGTTAAATATTTATCCAACTAAAGTGTTTTAAAAACAATAAAAATCAAAACTATTTCCCAATCGTTTATTTCATAATAGTCTTTGTGAATAAAAGCTTTTAGTTGGTTTATTCTCTTCAACTCCATTTTCTATACCCAACAAAAACTTGTTCATGTTTTGGACAATACCAATTGTCTCTCTTCGAGCTTCATAATAAGTAAACAACGGATTATCCAACATATCAAATAAACAATGTGTAAGATCAAATATAAATGTTCTTATATTTTTAAATTTAAGTTCCATCGTTTCAACCTCTTTTTTTCTTTCAATTGTAATTTTGCGTTTCATTTTTGATGTTTCAAATTTCCTTATGAACCTTTTTTGTGCTTTCCAAAACGTACCCAACGTTCTTTTAGTGCTTTCTGCAGCCATCCATTCAATTATCGGAATGAGAAATCTTATTGCAGCAATCACTCTTCTTGAACCAGGATGATCAACTTCAAGTTCCTTTTCTAGGATTTCAAACATGTAACAAAAGTTGTTAAAAATAATAAGTTCTTGTCTTGAAAATGGGCCAAACAAAACTCCGCGTGAAAGAAACATTTTTAGTGTTTTCATTTTAGACAAAAAATAATTTATTTTTGAATGGATTGTAATCATTAATGTTGTAAATTCTGGTTTTGTTGTTCTAAATTTTCAACTTGTGACTCGAACTTTCGTGCCAATTCATATTCTTGTCCATGAGTAACTCTAATGAAACTTGATTTTAATGGAGTATCAGAAAAGGCATAAATTACATCAAAGAAATATAATACAATTAAAAACAACATTTAATTGTTTTCGAGATGTTATGATTATCTTTATGTAAACTTTTTATTTGGAAAATAGACAAAATAGTTACATCATTAATTATTGATACAAAAAGATATTATCGCTTTTAATATTTGTTGTTTTTAAATAAAAACTTGTTTCAAATATCATTTAATTTATGAAATGTTACTTAAAATAAATGTTTGTTTGTTTAACACAAAACAACAAATATTTTGTTCACTTTTTTATTATATGAAAGTATTTAATTTGATTTAATTATTAACATACTTTTTATGTATTATTTTTGTTTAATAATTTTTAATTATAGCTTATTATATTACAACAAAAACATTCGTTTTAACAATATTTATTTGTTTTAATATTAATTAGCAACGTTCACATAATTGTCATGAAAACGTTTTTTATTTGAATAAAAAGTTACTTGTTTAAATAATTTAAAATTTATTACATCTTATTAAAATTATAAATAAATGTAATTAATAAATAATTGTTAGTCAAGATTTGTTTTATGATCAATAACATTATATTGAATAGTGATGTATAGACATCGGGCCCGTTACCATATTTAGCATCAAAAATGCAACGTAATAGCCAATGTTTAATTTTGCCGTGATAATACTTTTAAATTATCAATTGGTAAAATAGAGGTTATTATGTGTTTTTAATTATACGTGTTTACATAATAATTAATGATGCCAATTTAAAAAACTTTTTTCCAAAAATGAAATAACAATAAAAAATGATACTTTTAAGACATTATGAGTTTATTTACCAAAAAAAACAAAAAATAAATTATTTACAGTTCATATAAAACAAAACAGTTTTTATTTTCAAAAAAATAATTGAAACAAAAAAAAGAAAAATGGCAATATTTAATTATGGTAAATAATGAAAAAAAACATTAAAAATATAACATTTTATTTTCTTCATAAAAATTAACAATCATTATTTATTAAATAATTCATTTTTGTATATTTGTTATTTAAAACTCAAAAAAACAAACAATGAAAACCAGTATAGTTAATGAAAAGTGGTATCAAAAATACTATACTCCTTTTTCCACATGCGATACTTGTTGTTATTGTCTCTTCGGTAGTACACAGATCACTTGTTCTCTAAAGAATGGACCACATTCAATGACTCGGCACCTTTTTGAATTTCATATCAACAATCTTAAATCACACGAAAAGGACCATCTTCTTGAATGTGAGGATAATGTCGACCCACATACTTGGGCTTTTTTAAAGCTGTTGTTGAAATTTTTCATTTCAGCATCTATTCCACTCAGCCAGTTTGACAATCCATGTCTCGCCGATTTATTACACTTTTTTGAACCCGAACTACATCTTTACTCGACGAGAACAATGAAGGAAATATTTCTAGATAAATTTTTCAATGAAGAAATCAACTTACAAAACCAGTTTAACAACAATATTGATCCATTGAAGTCATATGTCACAACTGATTTGGCATCAAAGTTTGGTAATAATTTTATAGTTGTGACTTTAAGATCTTCAACGGAGGACTTTGAGTGTATTGATGAATTGTTGGAATTGGGTGAATTTATAGGTCGTCACAAATCCGCCGCAATAGCAAATGGAGTGAAATGTATTCTTGTTAAACAATATTAAAAATAAACTATTTGCGATAAACACAGATAATGGAAGTTCAAATAATCAATTAAACTCACTTTGTGAAAATAAACTAACCTGTGTAGTTCACACATCAAATTTGTTGTTCGGAGAAGTCACCAATACTTTTGTAAAATTCAGATCATTATTATTATTTTTAAATAAATTTTCAAAGGCGCTACAAATGTCACCAGAATTAACAGAAATGTTAAAGGAAAATTGACAAATTTCAAATGAAAAATATTGTACTGAAAAAACTTTTAGCCCCACTCGTTTTAATAGCTGTTTCCGAGTCTTTAAATGTCTGAAGCAAAATAAGGGGGCTCTGGTTAATTTGGGAACTATGTGTCCGTTGACTGAAGATGATTGTAATATGATTGACTCAATATATTGTTTTACCGAGTCTTTAAACTCAATATATAATATGCTTTCTTCTGATAAATGTCCATCTTCAAAAGTAATTGATGAAATAACAAAATTGTGGGTTGTACTTAACCCAAAAACACTATGGGGAGAAGATGTTAGTGCGATGAATATTTTCGAAATAATGGAGCATTTTGATATAGAAAAAAAAGTTTAATGAAAAAAAGGTTTTGAAAGCTCAACAAAGAAAAAAGAAAAAACTACAAAAGGTTCAAAATGAAGTAGAAAAAGAAGAGGCAATAATAACTAAATATAGAAACGAACAACTCAAAAAATTGGAAAATAAGAATAATAAAATGATTTATAGAAAAAAACAATTGAAAGATAAAAAAAGGTCGAAACAAATGTTTTTGTGTTCGATGATCCAGACAATGGTGTTGTTAGTAGTGATGATTCAGAAAACGAAATTGAAAACCAAGATATCGATTGCAACCAATCAAAAGAAGGAACAACTCCCAGCTGCACGAATTTTCAATGGAAAAGTTGTGCAGCAGAAGCTTTTATTTTTCGATTCAAATCCATATTGAATGAAAAATGCTACTTAATTCCTTGTTATCTTACGCCAAAATACCGAGTGAAATTACCAATAAGAATACAAGAAAAGGTACGCATGTTATTCTTACAAGAAGTCATGAAAGACTTGTTACAAGGCTTACCAATCAAGTCTGCGTTCGGGTTTTCAACATGTGAATACAATGTTGTTTCAAGTGATGCAACAACAGATGATATTTTACAAATAAAAATAAGAAAAGAAGTAGAAGAGTTTGAAAAAGAAAACGACACTCAAATGAACGCACTTCAATTTTGGAAAAAATGTCATCAAGATAATAAGTATGTGTTGCTACAAGGAACAGTTCGAAAATATCTATTTATCCCCCAACAAGTATTGATTCGGAAAGGGTTTTTAGTTTACTTAATTATGTTTTTGATAAAAAGAGAGCAAGACTTAATGCTTCTACAATAAGAAAACTTGTAATGTCGAAGTATGTAATAACAAAACAAATTGACAAAATTAAATCAGAAAAAAAGAAGGAAAATGTAACTCTTTGTCAAAAAAGAAATTCGTTTGGAACATCTGGACCTCCAATTAAATGATATTAAAAGTAAATAAAGTTCAAATTGTTAAAACGATAAATTCAATATAATACTAAACAAGTTTATGTATGTTTAAAATTTATAAAATAACACGCGCAATCACAAAATGTTATTGTTGTAGATAAACTTTAATATTCATAAAATGACTATAATTGTTAAAAACAATACTAAACTTAATAAAATAAAAAAAATTATCTTTATATGGTTTATACTATAATTTTTAATTTGTTAAATAGTTTAATTCTTTTGTTTGCTTTGGGGAGTTCTGCTTTTATAATAAAATATATTTTTATTTAATTAAAAAAAACAATATATATATTTTGGTTTTTTTAATTAAATGGAATTTCAAGTTTGTTGTTTGAGTTATTGTTTTGGGCATTTTTATGTTTTAAATTTGATTTATTTTAAATGATCATTTTTGTTATTTTAGAAGGAAGGAATCAAAAAGAAGAAAAAACAAATAACATTTGTTGAATGGCTGCAAAAAGCGGGCAAGTGTTATTTGAATTTTCCCGCGGCAATTGAATTTATTAGGCCCAACAACCCCAAATTCTAGAAGACGGGCCCGATGTCTAGTGATGTATTGAATTGTTGTTTTATAAAGTTGTTTTTATATCACTTTTTAAAAACATTAAAGTATATGTAACTTTACAACATAAAAATAGAAAAAAATTAACAATTATTATATATCGACAATATGTTGTTAATACAATATAATATAGACAATAATTTACATTTATTTTTAATATCACACTGAATAACACTCATTTAAATAATATAAATATTAATGTATTATAATGAACTAAGCTATCCTTTATACAATATATTGAATAATTGTTTATAAAAATAATAATATTTTTTAATTGAAACAATATGAATATATGTATTAAATAATATGTAGTAAAAGTTCATTTTATCATATACTTTTGAGAAATAATTAAACTTTTATTATTATTTTTGTTTATTGGGTTTAATACCCCAAAAATATTAAGAAATATCAGTATCTGAAAACTCTAAAAACAGGTAAAAACATTTATTTGGTTTTTGAAGTTTTTATTATATTTCTAGATTAGATTTTTAAGTACATAACTTATTATTTATAAATTTTTTAAAAAAACTATATTTCTAAACAATTAAATTAATAAAGTTTCAGTGAAAAACTAAAAATCATTTAAAAACTTTTTATTTGATACGATTTTAAATTGAAAAGGTAGTTTAAAATCATTATTAAGATTTTTTATATTCAAATAATAATATTAATTATTGTTAAAATGATCATTAACTCAGAACTTACATAAATTTTTCTTTGTTCACAAATAATAATCATTCATCCAAATAAAAAGAAAACAAAACAAAAAAATCACAAATGACATCTTCAAGTCAAAACACCCAAATTAAGGCAAATAATATCGCATTGGCGTTGAGTAAATTGGACGTAATTAATAATTTCACTCTCGATGAAATACTTGCCAAATTCAATGGAGATTCACAATCTACTCCAAAAATTTAATATAAAGATCGTATTGTTTATAAAGACAAGATAGTAAACAACACAGAAGAATCATTTATCGAGAGTGAATATCTCAAATTGGTTAGTAGAAGATTAAATGATTACAATGAGAATTATAAATATAATAAAAATACCCTTTCCGAAATATATGAAAAAGTTTCGAAATTGAAGAATTGTTTATTGTCAACACAAAGTGGCATAAATGTGGAAGAACTGGAAAGAGGTGTTGGACCAATAAATCAAAAATTGTTTTTAACAACAATAAAGATGATAGGTGTGATTCTTTCTTTGACAAAATCAAAAACCATAGCAAACTCTGTTTTGTAGTTGAATATAATAATGGAAACCAATATGGAAACGTGCTTTACAAGAGAATTGATCCCGATCCAACATCTTATAATAGATATGGACTTAAAAATGTTATTGAAATTGAAGATCCCAGAGCATTTGTATTTACTTTGAAAGAAGATGGGATAACAAAAATTTCTAGATATGAGAGATATACTAATGCAGTAGGTCGAAATTTTATTGTGACTCAGAAATTTGACCATTTGTTATTATATGATGGCAGAAAATGTATTAGAAAAGAAAAAACAGATTTAATGAGTGAAATTGTTGAGTTGCCAGACCAGTATCCAAGTGCTCCATCACGAAAAACTCTCGATATTGACAAAAATGAAGCAAACGTTAAAAGTATTATTGTGTATCAATTACTTTAATTACAGTTTCTATACCGTTATTATTATTAATATTTTCATGATAAAAAATAATTTCATCCTTTGTTTAATAGCTTTATTAGGTACAAATACTTCTATTAATAACATTATAAAAAAGTATAATACAAATTATTATTTCAGACAGAAAAAGTTTCCACAGGGCATTTTCATTATTTATGGTAAATATTGCTATTCGTTTTATTATATCTTTATTATTCTAATTTATGATATCTAGTGGAAGCGGTCAAAAAGATATTATCAGTTTTTTATTATTTGTATTTTAAATCTTTGTTTTTTCACTTAAATAGAAACTTAGACAAATTTACTGATTTGATTTTTTAAACTATAATATTGAGAGTAACAATAAAAAAAGGTGTTTTAGTTGTAAACAACAATTGGAAGAATTTTTAATAATATAAAGTAAAAGTTACAACAAAAAAATTCAAAAACAAACAACTTGGATTTTATTAAAAATAGAAACAAATCACTAACACATAAATAACTAAATTAACAGACTTAAACATTGAATTATTGTTAATCAAAAAGAACATGCGCTTGGCAAACTCAAACATCAAAATGTAGTTCATCAGTAGGGTAAATGTTATTTATTAGTAATAGTTCTAACTGTATAGACATCAAATTGCAAGCTGAAAAACTTTATTTATATTGTTAAAAAGGTATACACACTCAAAAGCAAAATTATACAAGAAAATTATTCAATAAACTTGGTTTGTTTCAGCATTTGCCATTATTTTTGGTAAATAACAATATCAAAGACAAATGGATACTGTAGTGTGTGATTTGTTCATTTTGTTGTGTGTGATGGTATTGAGACCACTAAGTATTTATTTATAAGGTAAACAAAGATAATCAGAGAATAAAGGAAAGATGAAAAAATAGTGTAAAACGATCGATATCAAGCAAATCGATTATAATGACTTTTTCAAATTCCTTTTCAGATGAATTAAAGTACAAACAAAGACTTTTTAAATCACTAAAACTAAAAATTAAAACCGAGTTTTTCAAAAAGACAGAAGTTGAAATTATATATTATTCTGTATTTGAATGCTTTTATTCTATTTTTGGTTTACCATTTTATCATAAATATACTATTAATTAATTATATTGTTAAAATATCTATAGAAATAAAACATTTTTATTAATATAATTGTTGTAACGAATGAATTAAGAGCATTCTAAAACTAAAATCCCATAAGGACGAATGTCTCGAGGATCTTCTATATACCAATAATTAGAAGGACCACCATTGTCACTTGCCAGTTTAATGGAAGAAGTCTTCACTCGATTCTGAAAGACTATTTTGTACTTTCGAGAATTACTATCAGTCTTTTTTGTTGAATATATAGCAGCTGCTTGTACATCTGGACTGCAATAGACACCCCTACCATAGAGATTTCTTGTACCGACTTTAAATCCATTTTTACTGATTGGATCTGCAAATTTGGGGTCGGTGCCATGATAAGAGACTGCCCATTCACCTGGGGAATTTGATGAACCAAGCCAGGTGTCATTACCATTATCAAACTTTCCAATTACATTCAGTGCATATCGCATATATCCACATGGACGTTTGTACACCATTCCACCTCTTTTATAAGTTCGACCGGCTTTGGTGTCATTGATATTACGAAAGTCATAATCATAACCAGGTGATAATAAATTGTTATCGATTGCAAATTGACTGATACCACCACCTCTGAGTCTCAAAACAAGATGGAGTTTGCTACATTCGGTTAGGTTGTAATCAGAAAGTTTGTTTTCACCTTCAAGAGATCTCCCAAGAAAAACAATCCTCATTTGATCTGTTGATATCCCTGTTTTGGACTCAATCAACTCTTTTA